GTCTTGTATGCATAACTATATCAGCGCAAGCACGGTGCTGGTAATTTCCTGGTAAATCGAGTGTGAATGGACCCTAATCGTTACTAACCTCGTCAATCTTAATCAACTCAACCATTTCCACAACTTTCTTCTCCAAGCCCTTTATATACAAACGCGCATTGGTCGCGTTTATGTCGATGGACTTGCCTAGCAGACGTAGTAGAGGAAGGGAGTCGCATTCCGAGGACCTGCGATAATAAAATTTCGGTCTGTACAAGGAGTAACTATTTAAGACATTTTGGCTGATGTTTAGAATCGTGGAAACAACAATTTGCTGAATTACTAATAAAGATATTTGGTTCTCCTCATCCAAATATCGTATTATCATGGTATGGTATAATAACTCAAGAGACTGCTAATGCAATACAGGATAGCGGTATGTTCCACAAATCCCCACTACTGGTGGAGATCCTAAAGTTTGATTTAATTTGATTCCATAAATCTCTACTGACATAGTACTTGCTACGCAGATTTAACAAAGTATCGAACCTTTTACACTTTATAAAAGAAAACACGCGCTGGGTCGATGACATAGTAAAAAGTAAATCAAATTAGTATCCCCACCAGTGTCCCCACTTTAGTGGGGGTACTTTTTAGTGGTCATTTCTAGAACATACCAAGAAAGCCTAGTCAAGTATTTAGTACCTATTGGTACACCAGATGTCGTGACAAGTACCAAATAGCTATTTTTGTATTTTTTAATTCATATTGGGCTATATTTTTGTAACTAATTTGCTTTACATTCTGCCGTTCACTAACTAAAACGCGGCTAAAGTGACAAATAGTAAAATATGCGTTTTAAATTACAAAGGATAGAGCACAAAATTCTCTTTTAAAAACAATTAAAATTAGTTAACGTTTTACTTACCCTAACGATGTATAACTGAAATATCATTAAACAATATCAATATTCTAAAATTGGGTTATGGTTTTTAATGATATCTCAAAAAATGATTTTGTCACTTTAATTGCGTTTTGGTTAGCGGACGGCAGCATTGACGAGCCTTAATTTGTAGTGATAACAAACAAATCAACTAGATGGCGTTTATTGCACGGAGTTTATAGATAGTGCCGGCTATTCTTTTATTTTGTTTAGGATTATCGGCATCTATCCATGTTAGCAGGCGTTTTAGCAGAAATATGTAAGGCATTACAAAAAAACTTCGCAACGCATAGCGTGTGTGCCCTGTGGTGATAAAACGGCCCTAGCTCAGCGTAATTGCTGCTCCATTAGAGTAAGGTATACTGGTATTCTGCTATGCCTGAGAATAGCAGAAAACTGACAAATCGCTGCTAACAAACGCGCGGCAGTGAGTGCGTAAGAGGGTATATAAAAAAATATTGTTTGTTAAATTTGTTTGTTATCACTACAAATTAGGCTCCTCAATGCTGCCGTCCTCTAATCAAGTCTGAGGGTCGTATTCTAGAACTCTACTCAATGCTCAAGTCAGGATTGCACTGGAAACACAAGCACTGGAAATACGACCCTAATGGCAGGGACTTGAGTATGATTTCTAGTGCTTTGAATCATACTCAAGTCCTGACTTAAGCATTGAGTAGAGTTCTGGAATACGACCCTAAGTGACAAAATATTTTTTTTGAGATGTCATAAAAAAACGATAACCCAGTTTTGAATATTGAAATTGTTTAATGATATTTCAGTTTAGTGTTGGGTAGGACATGAAATTAAAATGAGTTTGAGGGAGTAACTCCTTTGAAAAAATGAGGCGGTACAATGTCCTACTTCAAATGAGGTGAGGTAGTGGTAAGAATGTTTGCACCTACGACAATGACGCAACAGACAGGGAATATTAAGCACATTCTCATAACATGATGGTATCAATTAATTGGATAATTGAAATGTTATGATATAGTATACTAGAAATGCTAATTTTATTTAGTACTGTGGTAGTATGATCATATGATGTAAAATCAGCTAAAAAGCGGGCAGTGCAGGACCAATCATTGTTGCATTTGGTGAATTCGAAGCAGTATGACATGAGTGAGGCAGTGACATGAGGTGAGGTGTGAGGTGGGACATTTGATGACATGAGGTGTTGTGACAAACTAACCAAGCGAGTGGTACAAACGAGTTGCCTCGATTAAGAGTAACGTAAAGTCAGTTCCGATAAGTCGAACACGTTAACTAATTTTAACTGTTTTTAAAACAGAATTTTGTGCTCTATCTTTTGCTATTTAAAATGGATGTTTGACCATTTGTCCTCGGATCGGACATCCAGATTTACGGCAGGATGTCATCTTTACTTGGTCGATATTCCCTTCAGGCGTACTAAGCGCTTTTCATCGTCTTTTATTATGCACACAATTAAAAACTTGGTATTCCGAAGCGCTTTGAGTCTATGGTATTGCTACGTTCCAACAATAATTTGGTTTTCTAATTCCTGTTAATCTAACACTAACACCAATTTAATTATTCTATTATTATTACCATGTGGACATAAACGAACAGTACTAACCATAAAATGAAATATGATTCTATAAACGTTTGATATTTTATTTTTACTTTTTAACACTCAGAAAAAATTCCTTCGATCTGGCCGGATTCGAACCGACGTCTTTTAGCATACCGTGGCAGACGCTATACCAACTAAGCTACGGAACGAACCAGCGGACCTCACGAATTTTTTTATGTGCTTGTTGTCGTGTCTTTGTATTTGCTTTTTCAACGACTATTTAGCCGTAGCGCCATCTATGACAAATCTATGAAAGTATTTCATCACCCAGTTAGATACCTTTACAGCTACCAGACCCGACTAGAGATGTCGCTATTCATTATATTTAAATTCCATACAAAAATTCATACAAAAATTCGTAAGGTCCGCTGGCGCTGGTTCGTTCCGTGGCTTAGTTATAGCGTCTGGCACGGTATGCTAGAAGATGTCGGTTCAAATCCGACCGGATCGAAGGAATTTTTTCTGAGTATTCGATCTTTTTTTAATAATTATAACAAACTAGTGGAGTAATATCCATATTTTTTAGTGGTAAAGTTAAAACTTCAAACCGATCAAGTGGGTAGCACGTGATAATAATAATATTTTATTAAAATTGTAGGTAATAGGTTTGGACAAGAATTGCCACATGGTAATTGTATACCTACATACCTTAGATGATGGAAAAAAATTAGTTTCCATAGTCTAAGCTAACATAACATACAAAAGAAGGAATCAAGAACGTTTCTGCCAATTACTGAAAATCAGGCGTTTTAATATCTTTTTTAACACAATGTTTTTTTTTATAGACAGATTAATAAGTTATTATAATACTGTTTACAAAACGAATATGTCAAAAATAGTAACATAAGTAACGTATATTGTTGTCTTTTGGATTAAATCTGTAGTTTCTTATTTTTCGTTTTTTATGGTTTTTGAAGTTGGTTGAATTTATTTTAAAGTTTTGTGTGTTTGTATCTATTTAACATCCAGTTACAATACTTACATGGCCAGCTTTTGTATCTTCCGCAAGAGTCCACTTAACACACTATTGCTTCTTTCGTATGCTTCTTCGCTTGCCGCCACCCTAGCACGCCGCTGTTCTAATATGTCACGCAAGGAATCTATACTGTCTTTTTGCTTGTGTAATTTTGCTTGGTGTTTTGCGTTTTCGTCGGCTGAAATAGATGCAGATGGTAAACTACACATTTTACGTGTTTTTTTGTCAAAAATTTTGTATTATTCCATTGACTTACAATTATATGGACGTCGAGTCCGCACTCAAAAGTGTCCGAACTTATAGGGCGTTAAAATCGTATACAGAGCGTCATTCACGCTTTAGTGTTCGTTTGTTCGACTGACAGCGAAGCAAGCAAAATTAGACAGTACTGCGATGACATTACAATTTAAATTCAACGTTTTAGCTTTTTCATATTCCTTTACATGTCACTACATTTAAATAGGTTGATTTGGGACATTTTTTTCGTGGTTTTTGTATTAGACCCGTCGTCCATTTATTTGTTAGTCAATGCATAAATCTAATAGTTTAACAAGAAAAAAATAAAACGTGTATTTTGTATGAGACCATACCTTTAGTGCCCCATCGTTACAAAGTCTTAGCCGATCAAGTCCTGGAATCGCTACAGACGTGTTATTAGATCTATCTTCTATAGATTTGTACACTAAACGCCCGCCCAAACCTATTCACTACTTAATTACACGCGTCAAAAAGTGTGCAATATACTAAAGCTTTTTATACAGCTTCTGCGTAAGTACGCATCCAAGTGGATGACAATAATCCGTGGTAGTGACCCGTTTAGCTCTGGCCTATTCCACTAGCCCCTACCAGTTGCATGTAGTCTCGATCTAAGATGTTTAAATTAAATATTGTAATGATAAATGTGTTCAAATGTATATTTACAAAGTGCAACCCCTAAAGTTTCTGGCTCATTCTTCTCAGGGGAGTCTGCCTTACCAATGAGCAGTAGAGTTTAATCAATATGATTATTTCAAGTGTAATTTGCTTACCTATGAAATATAGATTATTTCACTTTGACTTTGACGTCACAGAAGGTCAAAAGTCGATTGTACTCAACAAAATTATCTGTCAATCAATACTACCTAGTTATTAGTCCTTGAACATTTCCACACATAACACAAATTGATGGGAAAATCGATAGTCGAAATAGTGTGCTTTATTGAATGTTTTTTTTAAATAATTACTGCGCTTAGAATAATAACGCATAGAATGATAGTTTCATATCAAACGAACTGTCACAAGTGAGGCAAAAATCAAATTCATGTAGACTAGTTTTAGTAGTAGGTTAATTTTCGGTTTTAGTGAATATTTATATAAAAATACAAGTTGAAACGCGTTACTTCCTTGTGGAATGTGATGTTAGTATCTATTTTATGTTTGTCTGACGTATTTTTACACTCATTTACCGCACATTTCGTCATTTTTAGCTAAAATTCTTGATCTGTTCGCGGTGCAAGTAGACCTTGAGCACTGAAGGCCCGCCCGCTCGTGTAGGCCCATTGGGCGCGCTTCAATTTGCCTCGCTTAGCATGTGCGGACTAGGTTTCTATGCGTTATTATTCTAAGAGTACACATGCTTAATTACGGAATTTATTTTTTCACAAACGAAATCAAAGCCATTTGAAAAACGTATATCGTATACTATACATACATGTCCTATTTAGTTCAGTTCATATTAAAAAAACATTGGTAGGTACCTACATGTAAAGCAGCTATTAAATACAGCGGTATTCGTGTAAAATTTCGAGGTAATTGTTAAAAAGTTTGAATCTTTTTCTATAATGAATATTTTTAGGAATCATGTTTTCACACCGTATCCTCAATTATAGTATATGTATATTTTTTCCAAAATGATCGATTCAACAGTTTCACTGTTATGCGAAATCAACCAAAGCCATTTGACGCAGTATAGACTCTTATGCATAAAAAAGTTATCATAGAATCTTTAATCTGTCTCTCTCTCTCTCTCTCTCCCCAAAAGTGCGGATTGAATAGTAGGGAGATTACTATCTACAGGGATATTAATATCTAACCTGTAAAAAATGACCGAATCTTTTTATTAAACTGTATAATTCAAGATGTCTATGTTTCTTACCGATCTGGATTCGCAGCATCTTAACGCTATCATCTAGGTGCTTGAGCTCTGTGTTGACTTCATTGATATAGTTGAACAGGGCATAGTTCTCTTCCTCGCGACGGTTGAACTCCTGAATAAGCTTGTCCACGTCGTCTTCGCCTGCGAACTCCTGCAGAGAAATTGCGTGAGGTATAAAGTGGAAAATTCTTTAGTAAACCAACAGAAGAGACTGGTGATGGTTTTTTTTTCTATAATATCAAGTGATGGGACGAACAAGTTGTGCGCCTGGTGGTAAGCTACACGCCTGTCTACAACAGTTTCAATGACACTCAGAGCTTTAAATCGCAAAGATCTGTGGGGCACTGCCACTGCGACCGTCGCCCTGAGACATAAGTTGACAAGTCCCATGTATCTGTGATTTCACCAGCACCCTTACCCTTCAAAACCAGAAAACAGTAATGCTGACATTAATGCTTGGCGGCAAAAATAGCTAAGGTGGCAGTACTTCCCTAGACGAACTCTTTCACAAGGAGCTCTAATGCTACTGGTGGTGGTTTAGATGTGTTGAGAGGTCACTGGAGGTTGTTTTTAAGGTGCAGTCACTACGAGCTTACCAATTCCTTATGACCGTCTTGCTGTAAGAGGTACACTAAAAGAAAAGGCGGAGTGCATGAAATGAACCTCCCTTCGATATATTATCATTTCTTTCCTGTGTGTTTGGCGGACCCTGAGCAATAATTCGCAAGAATACCTTATGCCATTGGCAAATCTTTTCTTCAAGATGGCGAGTATTATAGTGTATGCCGTCGATAAGATAAGAAGGAGCTGTGAGAGCACAATTCCGAATTTAAGTAAATTTTACGCTACTCATGAAATTACAATAAATTTGTGGCATTTAAAATCCAAAGGTGACGTAAAAATTTTAAGTTTTATCTTGAGATACGAAAGTGTCCATTAAGCTCGTGATAAAACTGAACAACTTTGGCTAAAAATACAAATTATATTGAAACAGATAATTTTTTGGCATTGTACCTACTTTTGAAACAGGGGATCATAACTGCGCGTGATCTGCCGAGGTGTACTCTGGAGAGGAATGTAAGTACATTGATCATCCGATCAATGTACGCTTGATAGTACTCACTCTAATAGCATCGAGTATGTTAACATAGTTATTATAAGCCCGCATATCCTCTTCCTGTTGCTCCAATCTTTTGGCCTCCGCTTTGGCATCAGCCGCCGTTAGCCTGACGGTTCCTTTAGTGCGGAGGAAGTCTTCTAGCTTCAGGCTATGGTCTAGTTGGCGTTGGAGTTCGCGAACTTCCTATAACAATATCATCAGAACATACCAGGATTAGTAATGCTGTCGTTACTTTTTAACCGACTTCAAATAAAGGAGTAGGTTCTTAATTCGACTGCCTGTTTTTTTGTTGGAAAGAGGGTACCTCCATAGTGGTCCCATTCAATTTTGAAGAAAATCATCCACCTCTAAGAGCGGCTGTTCACGCGTGAAGATTCATTTTTATAAATAGCGCCTTATTATGCCTATATACGGCAATATACGGAGCAATTATTTTAATGGTTGATTTTGCTATTCTCTAATTCAAGGAGTTTTTCCCTCTCAATATACTTTGAGTAGTGAGAACCGATTTTTATTATCTCCTGCGTCAAGTTCCGTATAATGGCGAACTAGGGGATGAATCCGGGTTTGCGCACTTTCCGGTAAGCGATTTCAAAAAACTTGGCAAATAGATATAATTCCATGTACTTTCGAGGTCGGTTTTTTTAGTACTCTGTACTGAGATTATTGGATCTACATTTTTTTGTATTAGGTACTTGCCACTCCTTGTCATCCGGATGAAGAAATACTTTTTAGTTATCGGACACCTTCCCTTTCCTTGCAGTCATCAAATTTATATATTGCTTTTTTAAGAGTCGCAGAAAAGTATTAAGTAAGTATTAACAGTGCAACGCAGACTGTTCGGACGAAGTGTGTCGTATGAAAATCGGATTACAGTTAGGTTGATATTTTTTCAAAGAGCTCCATTTTTTAGCTGTACTAAAAAATGGACAAGTAAAACGCTTTTTGCGAATTGATGGAACATCTATGGAATAACGGATGAAAACCATGCCAAGATTGACCGGTAACGGAAAGAAGGGGGTGAATAATTAATTACATATATATCTTATATACAAATAAACGATGTTACAGACTTTTGCTGTAAATTTTCGTACCAAACAATGCTTCCTGTAATCAATAGCTGCTTTTTCCTTCAGAGCTTCCAACTTATTGCACCACTCCTCCCTTTGATCATAAGTCGTTATCGCTTGCTCCACCAGCTCTAGGATTTGAGCCTTACCGTCCATTAAACGCTTGATTTGGTTCTTCCAGATTGAGTTGAAGAATTGTCTGAAAAACGTTACATAATTATGCGACTTTATGTACATAAATCATCAGCATGCAAGCAGTTTTTTTTCGAGTTCCAATTCAAAGTCATATTTGGTCAGTCTATCTTTCCTGACGTTCGTACTTGTAAAATGAAATTACTTTTGTAATGTACGTAGTGTTTATGAAAAAACGACTCCATTTAGTACCTATATGCTGCGTTATTAGCACTATTATTATTTTGACTAGGATGTTTTGTGCAGCCTAATATCACTGCGACCAGCAATTTACATTAAAAAAATAATTTACATTTGTTTTTTAAGAGTATTGACGTGAACCATCGAAAGTATAAAAATCCCAATAGACTAATTTTTTTTGACGTACTTAAGGTAGAAAAATATAATCAAAATTGTTTGTGTATGTGTGTCAGAATTTACAATAGATTACCAAATGACATTAAACACTTGCCCATTACATTATTTAAGACTAAATTATATGATTTGTTAAAGAATAAAGTATATTACAGTATTAGGGAATTTCTACAATAATTTTTATGTAAAAGAATTTAAATTAATCATATATAACTTAATGTAAATGTAACCATGTGACGACCTATTTTTCATTTATTTTGCATGCCTAAATTATCTTCGGACGAAACATGCTTGAACTTACGAGGGTCATTTGAAAAGTTCTTAGCCTGACGTATTTAATGAAACCACATGATTTTGATTTTATTTTTATTTTTCAACATACTCTCCCCCGAGCTCAAAACACTTTTTCCATCGACCCGGTAAGGCTTCGATACCTGTTTTAAAAAAATCTTCCTCCAACTCCTCAAAATATGCATCTACTGCGGCTACGACCTCTTCATTTGTATGAAAATGTTTACCACCTAAAAATTTCTTTAGCTTTGGGAATAGATAAAAGTCGGACGGTGCTAAATCCGGCGAATATGGGGGATAAGGTAACAATTCAAAGCCACACTGATGGATTTCTGCCATGGATTGCACAGAGGTGTGAACGCGCGCGTTGTCCTGATGAAACAAGACCTTTCTCCTCAATAAACCTGGACGTTTTTCTTTAATTTCTTCTTTCAAACGACGCAATAGGCTGCAATAATAATCGGAGTTTATTGTTTCACCTTTTTTTAAGTAATCCACCAAAATTATATCCTTTGCATCCCAGAAAACCGATGCCATGACTTTGCCGGCCGACAAAATCACCTTTGCCTTCTTTGGGGTGGGTGATCCTACTCTTTTCCATTGTTTCGACTGTTCTTTTGTCTCAGGTGTATTGTGGTGAACCCAAGTTTCATCCATGGTTACAAATCTTTCAATGAATTCTAGTGGGTCAGCTTCATATAACTCCAAACAGTCGCGGGAAGTTGTGAGTCGGTTGCGTTTTTGTTCCACTGAAAGCAGCCGCGGTACCCACCGCGCAGACACCTTAGAAAATCCAAGGTCAGCAGTAATTATATGGTGTGTTCGCTCAGAAGAGATGCCTATAGTCTTAGCTATCTCCTCGACAGTCAATCTTCGATCAGATAAAATTAAATCACAGATTTTTTCTTTGTTTTCATCGGTGGAAGCAGTTGAAGGCCGGCCACTACGGGGCTCATCTTGAATGGTCTCTCGACCACGTTTGAACTCTGCCACCCAGTTTTTTATAGTCGCATACGAAGGAGCAGACTCACCCAAAGTAGCAGACATGTCTTCATGTATAGCTTTTGGAGTCAAACCTTTCAAATACAAGTATTTGATCACTGCACGATGTTCAATTTTATCCATTTTCAAAAATAGCTCTGACTTGACTTACAGTATTACGTGTTAACGAGCAACGAATAATTGTGACTTAACTAAACTGTGCATACTTGTTACTGAATAATTAAGCTACAAAATGAAGGTAGTTATGAAAAAAATCGATGACCCTAACTATGTCAGGCTAAGAACTTTTCAAATGACCCTCGTATATATTACTGTGTTATCATGACCACCATGTTTTTTGCAAATAAACGATTTGATTTGATTTGAAAATTTCAACTGTTACGATCACTACTAATTACATGTCGGAGATATAACCCACAGAATTGAAAAGGCCAGCTCCGATTATTTTTACCTCCCCTTTCTGCCATGCATACGACGTATCTGCGTAAAAGTGAAGTTTGTATGCTTATCAGATGGCTACAGTGGTACAGGAGATGTAATCTTTGGTCTCATCCTGGTGATGGATTTTTCTATTAACTATAGAGCTATTGTCTTTTTTTTTTTTTTTTTTTTTTTATAAAATATAGGTGCGCATTTGACCTCCATCTCACCTGATGGAAAGTGACGATGAGGTCGACGATGGAGCATGCACACCTAAATAATGCCTATTCACTCTCGCCTTGAAAAGGTCCAAGTTATAACGTTCAGGGAACAAGTCTGCAGGCAGGGAATTCCACTCCATAGCCGTTCGCCATATAAATGTGGAAGCGTAACGCTTCGTGCGAATCTTTGGAATATCCACAACATAGGGGTGGAACCCAAGCCTACGCCTAGTCCCCCGGTGATGGAAAGGGGAAGGCGGAATTAAATCATGTAATTCCATCGCACACTCTCCGTGATATATCCTGTAAAATACCGATAAGCAGGCAACTTTACGGCGGTGTTCAAGGCTCTGCAGCTTCGCCTCCACTAATTCCGAGTCACCTATAAGCCTCTTGGCACGGTTGTCAATTGAATCCAAAGTGGCCAGTTGATATGTCGCAGAGCCATCCCAAAGGTGGCAGCAGTACTCCATGCACGATCGGACTTGTGCTTGGTACAGCTGGAGCAACTGTCCCGGTGTAAAGTACCGCCTCACCCTGGAAAGGATCCCAAGCTTCCTTGCTGCATTTTTGGCCGTGGATTCAATGTATCTGCCGAAGTTCAAATTGGACGACAGGTCCATTCCAAGTAGCTGGAGACAATCGGCTATCGGTATGGATATATCACGAAAAGTCGGAGTCAGCTCAAAGGGACTCCGTTTTGTGGAGAATAGACACGCCTGCGTTTTGGTAGCGTTAAATTTGACAAGATTGGCATTGCCCCAATCGGAGACTGCCTGGAGTGTCAAATCTAAACGGCTAACCATGGACTCTCGACAAGACTGGATTTCCTCTCCACTGACCCTTGCATTGGTCAAGTACCTATCTACAACTGTGCTGTCATCAGCATACGCAAAGGTACCTGGAATTAACATATCATTGATATGCAGCAGAAAGAGAGTTGCAGACAGTACGGAACCCTGAGGAACTCCGGCATCTATCGCCATATGTTCGGAAGAGTAGCCTTCTAAGACCACTCGAATCGAACGTTCGCTCAAGAAATCCGAGATCCAATTGCAAAGGTCAGTGGGAAGCCCATAAGAGGGAAGCTTGCTTAAAAGGCTTGCGTGCCAGACCCTGTCAAAGGCTTTAGAAATGTCCAAAGACACTGCAAGTGCTTCGCCTTGCTTTTCTATAGCCTCGCTCCATATGTGACAGGCATACACAAGAAGATCCCCAGTAGATCGCCCTCGTCGGAATCCGTACTGGCGATCACTGAGGAGATCGTTGTCTTCAAGGTACGATAGGAGACGGTTGTTGAGTACACGTTCCATAGTCTTGCAGAGTATGGAAGTGACTGAGATAGGTCTATAGTTGACAGGGTCAGCTCTGCTTCCCTTTTTTGGTACAGGTTGCACGTTTGCAAGCTTCCACGACCTGGGAACTACACCAGTCTCAAGTGAGAGGCGGTACAGGCGTGAGAGAACAGGAGACAACTCAGGTGCACAGTTACGCAGGACTATTGCTGGAATTCCATCTGGCCCGCTAGCTTTATTCACGTCTAGATTTCGCAGAGTTCTAAGTACCTCTTTTTGGCGTATGCGAACTGGCGCCATAGTGCAGCCAGCCTGAGGTAAAGTAGGTGGTAGGGTCCCTGCGGCATCTAGACGCGAATTTTCTGCAAAGAGTGAGGCAAAGAGATTCGCCTTCTCTTCCGCAGTATGAGCCAGCGAACCATCCGGCCTCAGCAGAGGTGGCAAAGATGGGCGACAAAAGTTCGATTCGACCGCTTTGGCCAGGGACCAAAAGGATTTGCTGCCTGCTGGATAAGAGGCAAGCTTGGCTCCTATGCGGCGCACATGGTCGAACTTGGCCCTACGTAACATGCTTTTGCACTTCTTGGCGGCCTTATTAAAAGCTTTCTTCATGTTCTGAGTACTCGGAGTTTTGCGTAGTCGAGCATCTGCCCAAGCTTGGTACGCGGACTGTTTACGTGCTTCAGCACAACTACAATTAGCGTTAAACCATGGACGAGCTTGGGGTCCATTGGGTACATCAGAGTATGGAATGTAATACTCCATACCCAAACGCAAGACCTCGACTACAGCATCAGCACAGCTCGACGAGTCTCCTGAAGTAAAGCACGCCTGCCAGAGATATGACGCAAAGAAATGGCGCATTTCGTCCCAATCTGCTAACTTGTATCGCCACACCCGTCTCATACCACTAGGGCCCTGATCGGGTGGGGAGTATACGGATACAGTTTTCACCAGACAATGGTCGGAAGTACCCAGTGGGGCCTCCACAACCACAGAGTATCGGTCCGGATCAGTTGTCAGCAGAAGGTCCAAGCAATTAGCCGTATGGGATTCAACATCTGGTATCCTAGTGGCGCCACTGACAAGCTGGGATAAGCTTAGCGTTAACGCAAGTTTACGCGTCTCTCTCCCAGCGTGATCGGTCTTCTGGTATGGGAACAACCATTCTTGATGGTGTGCATTAAAGTCCCCCAGAATGACTAGTTGCGCCGCTGGGTACCTATGCTGAATCTCATCAGACGTCTCACTTAGATATTGGAACAGCTTGGTCGTCTCCTGATCTCCACTGTGCGATCGGTAAACACAGCAGTACACTATTTGTGTAACTCCTGTGTCAACCAGAAGCCATAAAATTGAAAAACTCGGTGCCTCAAGGTTCTTGAGACGCTTGACACAGATGTCATCGCGAACGTACACACAGACTCCGGCACGAGGTACGAACCTGTGCTCCAGAGTATACCCGGGGTAGCTGAGGTACGCTGCGTCAGTCGGACATCTGATCTGCGTCTCTGTGAGGAACAGCAGCTGCGGTTTGTCGGTTTCAAGGTGGTAGTGGACCGAATCGAGATTTGAGTGCAGACCTCGGATGTTAGTGAGGTGCACTTTTAGTGGGAGGACGTGCAACCGCTGTGTATACTTTTTTCCATTTTTAAAGTTTTTCATTCTGTTTTGGAGAAGTGAATAGGCAGGAGGAAGGCAGTTGAACGAGGCACTGCGTCGTGTTCAACCAAGCAGCAGACTCATACTGCCACACGAGGTTACAATCGGCTTGGAGACCGCGGGGACGCCCGAACCCCCCCGGAGATGGCCACCTGGTCCTCCCTTCCGGTCGCCAACCGGCAAGGTGGAGCATTCCGGGATTTTTCGTTGGGTGGCGGGGCAGCCTTTCACGGGTGGCTTTCCCGCTACTTGGGCCCCCAACTTCCCACGGTCGGCCAGCGGTGCACCGTGCTTCGGATCCCGCTAGCCTCCAGAACCGAGTGCTCAGTGTGGCAGTACAAGCAGCTACAACTCGCCGTCAGACGCAATGCAACTGTTCAGACCCGACCTCCAAATGGCAACTCCCGAACACGAGTCGGAACACGGTAAAAACCATTTGGCGACTCGACTGCGTCGGGAGGGTGGTGACTAGCCACGGCCGAAGCCTACCACCAGTAGTTATTGCTCTTTAGCACCACCCAGGGGTCACTTGTAGGGTCTCAAGGGTAAACCTACGGAAGCGAGCAACATCAACCCCCAAATGTCGTTTTATTTATTAACGTGCTACCTTAGAGATTTGGATTTTATTTTGAACCACGAATTTATTGGATTATTTATAGCTTGACTGCGATCCCCAAATTGTTTAACTAGTGACTATTTTCAGTACATATTTGCATTAACCTATAAGTTGATGTAGAAAACTCTATTACCGATCTCTCAAAAGGCGATCTATCTCCAACCTCATTCTGAAATTCTCACTATTGACAGTGTTAAACTTCTTCATTGCTGTGTCGAGCCGGTTTTCTAATTGGGCTGTAATCGTTTGATTCGACGATGCAGTTGTGTACGCCTGGAATGAAAGGTTGAATGAGGATGAAAGGTTGCGATCTACAGGTAGGAACTTGGTATGGCTAATGAGTAATTTAGTGGAAAACGTAATGTACCCAGAGTAAACGTGAGTAAGTGAAACGACTAATGCAAGCCAAGACACAATGCACCATAACAGTAGATTCCAAGATGTTTGTCATTTTCGTTGGGAGGTAGGTGCTTTCTTTTAACACAAACACTTACTATATCACACCCCGTTCCTTTACTTTTCAGCACCTTTATTTCCTTCTGGACCTGTTTCAATAGAAAGTCCAGCTCGTTGATGTATCCTCGATGCTGCCTCACTTCTTCCGAAGACTTTTCGTGTTCTTTCAGTAGGGCCACCATTTTCTCTCTTGTTTTCGCGTTCTCTATTAAGTTTGACGTGCTTTTCGTTAGCTGTTTATAGAAAAAAAAAATTAAACTGCGGTCTGGATTCTGGTTTTCAACGACTTTTTAGCCGTAGCGCCATCTATGAGAAATCTATGAAAGTATTTCGTCACTCAGTTAGGTAACTTTACAGCTACCAGCCCTGGCTGGCTTAGTTGGCATAATGTCTAAAAAAATCATGATCGTAAGGAATGTCCACTGCTGCTTTTGATTCTCGGACTATCATACAGTTGATCACGATTGCACACATTAACTGCAGACGTGCAGTCCATCTGTTGGCAGCCTAACTTTTCTAAATTGATTCTGGTGTGGGTGTCCTAGGTAATAGTAACCTGGTGTGATTTCTGTTCGCCTTAACCGATGTTTTGTCAAAAACCCTGTTTACCCTGAGTTCTAACATAATCTTCTCTAGCTCTGCGTTCAGAGTCCTGATCATATTCCTCTGGACCCTCAAAGTCGGCTGCGCGCTGCTAATGACGTTCGCACGGTCGATCTCCATCACTCTGAACTGTCTTTGGAGCTTGGCCAGCTCATCTTCTGCAATCTTCTCCATTTCCATATCGTCCGGGTTTGCCATTTTGACCGCTGCTGTTATTCTTCACGAATTCTGAGAAAAATATACGAAAATTAAGTAACGCGCTTTTACATAGAACTATGCCATTGGTAACATTCAAGATATAACTGAAATGGAACCTGTATTACCATTGTTGTACCCATTTTTTAACGCACACACTCAATCTCATAGGGAACGGAAACTCTGTGTCGCGAGTGCCATGGATACACACATAGACAACCACAAATTACACCCAAACTCACGAGGGAAATAAATATATGGTATATACCGGCGTACGGCCACGAAGGCAGTTAAATTGGAATTCAACAATTTGCACAAGTTGTTATAATATTAGTTCTTGGTTTGCAACAGTTTATTGACATTAAAGTTCGAGTATAATTACATCTTTAGTTTATGGAGCAAATCTACCGTACTTTAACTAAAACGCGGCTTTGTGGCAAAATCATTTTTGAGATATCATAAAAAATCTTTATTCAGTTTAAAAACATTAAATTGTTTACAGATATTTTAGCTATTAGGGTAAGTTCCGATATATCCGATACGTTAACAACTTTCACTGTTTTGAAATACAGAATTTTGAGCTCTATCGTAAGCTGTTAACGTGTCACTTATTCGAGTTTTAGTTAGTGGACGACAGAAATACGGGCGAAGAATTTATTCCAAATCGTCCTTAGATCTATAAAAAATTGGTTCATGTTTTTTTGTCAATTGGTTCCACTTATTGGAAATGGAAAACTGTAGTCTATTCTCATTTAACTAGGTAGCATCGATACGGCAAGGACTGATTTTTGTTGAACTTGTAAAACTCTCGGATACATACACACATCTAAAGTGTCAAGGGTCAAGTTCATTTTTGCTAATTACTGAAAATCAGTTTTTTTTAAACTATTTTTATTAACATCAATGGATTTTTTTGGTCAATTTTATATGATTTGAAAATGAAATTGACAAAAAATACATTGATGTTAAAAAAATCATCAAAATGCCTAATGTTCAGTAATTATCAGAAACGTGCTTGATTCTTAAATACTTTTGATGAGTATATTATGAAAGTATATTATTGAATTCGGCCACGAAGGCGGACTTGCGACAACGATTCCTGTTTTTTCGTTAAAGTAGTTATTATAATTATGTTACTAGTTGTCAACGCTATGAATATTCTGATACACCAAAGAAAGCCATGTCCTTCAGACCCGGCCTTTTTTTTCGACACAAGCAGCCTGTCGGTTTTTTCGGTTATTGCTTTGCGCATTTCTACAATAATGCATTCACGATGTTAATGAGGATGCCGTGATCTTCCAGCGCGCAAGGATGTTCCGGGAGGCACGTGTCGATTGCTTCTACACCACGATGCGGAAATGATCCACACCAGGGATCGAGGCAGTGCCAACAGCACCATAAGCATAATAAGGAACCGTTTCGGCAGTCCGTACGTGAATCACTGTTCTATGATCCAGTAAAAGTAAGTAATAGGGGTTTTCTTTTTGTGTTCTCTGTTGTTTGTATAATACCAATTGTTACCAACTATTAATAATTGAAATTTTAACTTATTTGTATTATTATTTTCAACCATGATTTTTTATACATGACAGGCAGATGACTCTATTCCACCTGATGTAAAATGGAAAATGGAATCCAAATGTGAAGGAATCTAGTGCAGTGTTGATACAATCACTGCCCTACCCACCTCCATCCTGCATGCCTAAAAGATGCCTCTTCACGCCTCGTTTGAAGGACCTCGTATCGCAAGATGAAGAGAATACGTGCCCTGGAAGGGAGTTCCATTTCTCAACAGTGCGACAGAGGAAGTTGCCACCAAACCTTTTAGTTCGCGATGCAATACGGCTTGTTGTAAAACGGTGAGTACGAAGGTAAGCACGCGTGCTTCGGAGGAGGAAAGGGGAGGGCGGGATAAGATGAACAGCTCTTCGAGCGCTCGCCATGTTAAAAGGCGTTAATCACTTAACTCTACGCAGTTGTAGAGGTTCAAGGTGTGAACTAGCATCTGTTAAGCAAACGCCTTCTTGTCCACATTGTGACTGTCCTTCAAGTGAGATTTTGAGCAAGCATGAGAATAAAAATTTAAAAAACTTTTACTTCTACTGCCATTAATTGCAACCAATTTGATTGTCTTCTAATTTTAAGCAAACACGCACTGCAAAACTCGACTTTTTTCACAATCTCCAGCCGCCACCTCTTTCGACATTTGCCTTTGGTTACATCTTCAGGCACCCATGACGAGATCCTAGTTTTCTTTCTGGGATGCATACTTAACACATTCTTCATTTTCGTAGCATTCTTGTCTTGACAGAGCGGGCGTGGTCAACACTGATCATGTTTAAGTAGCAGTGAAGCTCCTTGTGAAAGAGTTCGTACAGGAAAGTAGATACTGCCACGTTACCTGTTTCTGCCGCCAATCAGTAATGTAAGCGGAAGGCCCCTGGGTCAAAGCAAAATAAAGTGTACTGTGCAGCTAATAGCGACTTCGTCAAGGGCTTTACGTTAATTTCCGAATTATGGTTAAATATCATTGGTAAACACTCAAAACTAATCTGCCTACCTAGCTCATTCCCAGTAGGGATAGACTATCGAGTCTGTCCACGATACCACGGTACTGATACTCTTTGACAAAATCCAACACTAAACAAAACACTATCATTATTGATATTTGAACATGGAGTTGCGTGAATTTTCTTGTCTATAGGTTGAAGTCGTTGTCTGCGATATAATACACAGGAAGACACTGCTACAGAACTTCTGTATTATCCATTACTCGTCTTTTACGACACTAATGGGAAAATATAAAATTTTGTTGTTCCTAACCAAGTACCATAAAGTTTAATTAGATTGCTACTCACCAATCAACAAATGTACCGCTTAACAAGACGCAATAATTGGCATACAGTCCACCTGCAACTAACGTTTAGCATTTGCGGATGTACAGCATAGGCACTAGCTTATATACAAAACGATCAGTCTTAAATGACCTTCAACCGCCTACAGAATATTTCCTAGGAAGGGTAAAGATACACTGGTCGGGTAACGGGCTTATAAAAAGAAAACAGCTTTAAAAGGCCTTGGATCGTTGATAAAATACTTTCAAGTAAGGGTAAAGATATGCTGGTCGATAACCAGTAGTTTTGTCGATAGTATATCCAGGCACCGGAACGCATGCGTGCATCCTTCCTATTTTCCATTTTAACAACGGAATCTTCATTTATATTTCTTTGAATTATACATAGGCTATATCAAATATAGTATAAACAGTGAAAGAGCAAATATGAAAAAAACATCTACAGAATTCTATAGCCTTTATATTTCTGAAACTTTTGAGGAATTACTTTGATACAACACAATGATCTTCATAAAATCACAAATTAATTTATAGGCCACTGTACCTATACGGTTCTATATTAAAATAACAAGATCTTCTGTTCCTTTGCCATTTACAAGGTGTATAGCCACAGAACATGTTTTTTCTTTCTTCCGTGTTTAAAACTATAGCTATGGTGAAACACAGACTTCATACGAAAGATCATACAACTTATGTGTACTAAGTACATTACGTTTTGGGTTTCCATAGGCTCTGTAACCAACGTTCAATAAATAAATAATAATGAGTATTTTGCTCTTTCTTCTCGCGGGAATTTGCCTTACGAATGAGAAGCAGTGTTTAATCAATTTGACGGTTTGAAGTACAATTTTGTACCATATATATAATAAAATCACATTGTAATATAGCGTCAAAATGCTTTTATCGCATGAAAGTAAAAAAAGTAATACGGGGTACAATTAAATAAAATAGATAATATATAAAATTTTATAACTCTCATAATTTAAGCATAAAAAAGTTATCGATTAATGTCGTTCTTATTAATTATGATCTTTTATCCCTTGAACAGTTGTCATTTCCAATAGTGCAATTTGCGTATTTATAATTTTACATATATGACGAAACTTAAAAAGAGTCTATTCAATCTCAAATGGCTCAGGTTAATTACTCATAGCAGTGAGTGTTGTATCAATCACTTTGTAAAAAAAATATATAGTACACATACGGTATGAAAACACGATTCCTAAAAATAGAAACAACACAAACTTATTGATTCCCTGCCCCTTGACGCCAGCAAAATGAACTAACTGTATTAGTACGGGAGACATTTGAATTCAGAGGTGATATAGTATAGACTCAGGTCTTACGATAATTATCGTTTGCATATTTGGAAATTCTGTGCAATTACACCTAATTCGATGAGGTAAGTGTATTTGTTGTGTTCTCTTCTCGTTCTGGGGGACGGGTCTCAAATTTTTATTTAAATATAATGTAATAAAGTCATTGACAAACATAGAGACACGATGAAACTACAAGCGCTGTAATCCTAAGAAAGATTCGGTTCATTCAAGCCATGACGAATCAAAATTAATGTTTTGATAATAAAAAAAATACTTATTGGCACATCCTTCCCACTTCCATTAAAAATGAGTTAGTACCGTAAACCTTGACCTATGCAACGGAAATTCCAAAGTTTTGAGGACAGTTTTAAATTAAAAATTGTTTTTGTCATGCAATTTTCGTAATCCTGATGATGATTTAAGAGTCCCTCATGTTCCCATAGACAATATTTACTGTAATAATTGCTGCCAAACAGTGATATTACTGTTTAAACGCATGTTTTGCTGTCGAAACTGCAAGAAACGTCGAATGTACGGCAATAATGGCCGTAAAAGTAGTGACGTCACAACTTGGAGGCAAAATTCAAAATAAATTTGTGTGACATTTTGAAAAGAAACTTCAGATTTAAATCGACTCGACATGGTTGAAATGTTTGGATATAAGCACTTTGCTTGCCATTGTACGATTTGCAATTTAGAACGCCATATTGGAAAATCAGGGGTGCTTAAAAACAAATCCATCGAAAAAATATTATCAGGATTTTCAAAATATCCTCTCAAGGCCTTGGAATTCCAAAGTGCTAACCAGTACAATACACCTAAGCGTATAACGACAAACAATGTACCCACAGCATAAACTTAGTGAATGAGAAATTTATAGGGGGCATTAAAGTTCTCCCGATTAATTTCATTGACGTATTTTTTTTCTTTTTTTTTTAAAGTACAATTATACATTTTACAGAAACTATCTCCCGCCAAACTGGGGACAGTTTATTGGCGAGGACGCTCTTACACAATTATAAATAAATCCACTTAATACTTAACTACCTAGCAGTGAGAAGGTACTTCTCTTATAGATCCGACTTACTTATTAACCAAAACAGCAATTACAATTATAATTATCTATTGTAATTCAAGTTGGTATTTCGATTTCAAGTGGACAGAGAATATTTTAAGAAAATAATTTAATATATTCACATTTACAATTACGTTTTATTTTATTGTTTACTAAAATTTAATAATCTTGTTTGTAGGCTTTGTAACCACCAGTACCAACACTAGCTGAAAATGTGGCCGATAAAAGCTTAAAACAGGTTTAGATTCAAGTGCGTTAAACTCTTTACAATAACAATTATGATATAGTCTAAAATTATACCGCTCGTCTATTACATTTGACGTCTCTGTTATCCCATCTGTCTTCCATAAAGTAACAACGGCCAAAACCTAATAAACCCAAAATATCAAAATTTAACATCCCAAATGCAAGTACAGTAAACAAAAGTCGTGCTGTATTTTTTCATACATTAAACTCAAAATGTTTATGGCATTAATTCACTATGAGATCATTTCCTACTATTTGGCAACGGTAAAATTAACATTGTTTCACCACTTTTGACGCTCTCTTTGCATGAAATTACAAATTTAAACCCTTGAACGCATAAAAATAGAACTATCATCAAAATCATATAAAATTCTTCACCCCGTTCCCTGCATCCTTACCCCTCGTCTGTAGCAACGCTGGGATTAATATTTAAAATTACCTTTGTATTGTTGTAGCACCTTGATGGTATATTGTTGTCCCATTCTAGCGTAAGGCATTGTATTTGTTTGTTATTGCTTTCTCTTTTTTCCACACATGTGGGTTAAAGGCAAAGATTCGTTTAGATAGAAGGTATTGTAGGCAGAATTCGAAAGACCCCTAACTGTTAAAAACTGTTCATTTCCATCGTTATTACTATATGTACTTACAAATTTCATACTAAAGAAATGATAAACAAAAAGGAAGAAAGTTATCTTATGTTTAAGATATATTTTATTATCTGCTTAAAAATTTAGAAAATTCAATAAAATTTTATGGAAGCCACGAAACTGCTTGAATGAAATGACGCCATTGGAGTCTTATAATAAGTGTACACGGAAGACGAAATAATATTTATTTGTCTAAAGTATGGTTTAGATAAAAGGTTCAAGAAGACAGTCTTCATTTCTTTTCTTTTAATTTTTAGAAATTCAATATTTACAAAGCAATTCCGATAGTATTAAGTCAGTTAATAATTGAATATATTATATTATGTTTATATCATAAAAAGGTAAAAATAAAAATACAATAATAAATAAAAGTTTATAATAAACTTTAAAATTTATGTTTTTTTTAATATATTTAAGATTTTAGCCGTGATACTATCTTACGTTTAAATAGAAGACTTTTGTTTATTTTTATATCAGAGGATAAGGCCCTATATATTTTTACATAAATAAATTTACTTATTTTTTAGGATGTAAGACAAGGTCTTAACATCTTTATGTCCTAACACTCATTCAAATCGGAGATGTTGATGACGTTACTACGTTTCATTGATAGTGGATCACTAAATTTCGTCCCATTAATAAATATTTGTTGCATTGTATTGGTACGCAATAATCAAAATTTGCTATAAAGAGCAGTAAATAGGAAACATTTTTTATTTTAATTTTTAAGAAGAGTTTAATTATACCTACCTCCGCATCTATCCGCACCTTTATTACTCTTTGTCCGTCATGCCTCGTTCTACCTCGAAGGTTTTACTGCATCTCTGTTGTGCCCGCGCCGTTGTCGGAGCAACGTCTATGCGAGAACTTCACGTGAGTGTTTCGACGAAACTTAACATCGGATTCAAATATTGAATTAGTTTCAAATAAACGTGGAAGTGTTATTGTGCCAGTGACATGGTGTTATATAAGTGATATAAAATTTTAAAATCATGGGTTTGAAAAAGGATTTCGATTTGCCAACAAACATTTTTAAAAGTGTTAAATTGCCTAAATCTACGAAACTGCAACAGGCTATAGAGAAGATTTTTAAGAAGAATAGCTATACTAAAATAGTACAGAGTTGAATTTAGGACGTCATTATAGTACTTAAATGGGTGAAGTAGAAGCAAATATTAGTAGTAGTAGTCACACTGATACAAAACCGCCCGATCCAAAACAACCTAAGTTTATAACCGATGAAACAGAATTCATAGGCAAAGGAGACATATCAACGCCTAAGAAACATAGAAGAAGCAGGAGCAGAAGTGGCAACAGATTGACGCCAAAAGTTTTGAGTGTTTCTGATGAATATTTCTATGAAGATTTGGAGGAATACGTAAAGGAAATGTCTACGGTATCTCGATCAGCTATGGATACTAACGAGGATGTGTGGACGCAGCTTCAACAGAAGGAATCTGATCTCTTATTGGCAGCAGAGCTTGGGAAAGCCCTGCTGGAGAAGAATGAAGAACTAAAAAAGGAACAGGAACGTGTAGCTGAGGAATATTCGAAGAAAGTTGAGGTAAGTTATTTTATCTATAAAAACTATTTTTGCGAGTAGATAGATTATGAAGATAGATTATGAAGGTACCAGGAGAGTAGAAAATAATAAAGATCGTTGCTAAATTAGTTTTATACAAGCCAGTATTCCAACTATGCCCTTGACTTTGGAAAAAGAAATTGTTCTAGCAAATTTTAATGTTACTTAAAAGGCTGAATAAATTCTAATCAATAGTTTTTACTCTGAAGTTTCTACTTATTTTTTTACGATGGAAAAGAAATTTATGTTGAATAAATATTCATGTCTCTCTTTTATTATACTTTATTATTTTATTATAGCTTGATTTTCTTGACAACATTCCATTGACTTACAAATAAATGGACGACGGGTCTAATACAAAAACCACGAAAATAATGTCCCATGTCAACCTATTTAAACGTAGTGACATGTCAAGGAATATGAAAAAGCTAAAACGTTGAATTTAAATTGTAAAGTCATCGCAGTACTGTCTAATTTTGCTTGCTTCACTGTCAGTCGAACAAACGAAGACTAGAGCGCGAATGACGCTCTGTATACGATTTTAACGCCCTATAAGTTCGGACACTTTTTAGCGCGGACCCGACGTCCATATAATTGTAAGTCAATGCAACATTCACAAAAATTTCATTACTTATTATGAGTAAATTATAATTTAGTTACATAACGTCATTAAAATGTCGTAATCATTTAGGCCGAAGAACGAGGACGAATAAAAAGAATTTTTTTTTATCAAAATCAAGGTCTATCTACTCGGACCTTAGACTATTATTTTTCCATCCTCTAAGACTCGGACGTGGTTCAAATGATGCCTAATTTTTTAAATTCTTGTTACTTTGCGTAATGTGCGCGTTTTTGCTTTAATTGCTAATAAACTATTGTTATTATTTCGCGATCGTTATCGGTTTAATGAATCACTGTTTACAGAAAACCATAGGCCACAAATGTCTGGTGCATCGTAGATAACAGTTTTGATTAATCTAAAAAAGGCGGTTAGTTTTTGGTTTATAGGAAAAAGAGTTTACTAAAGACAATGATATTAAGTATTATTTACTCACTTACTTAACTTTACTTACTCACTTACTTACTTACTTAATTGCTCACTGACTAAATACCTTTACTGACCGGACTAGATAAGTATCTGTAACTCACTGCTGAAGACTAGGCAGTATGGTCTTTGACCCTAGCCTGTCCTTTTTGGATGAACAGAATAAAAAATGTCCATGGTTTTTGGTCAAGAATTACATCTCTACTATTTTCTTTCCATGGGTATCATATTTCTCAATAGAGAATGAAGAATGTTGATTTTTATTGTAAATTTTTTTCAGAATTTTTCATTTTTGTTTTTACTATTCTATACTAAATTTGAATATGAAAGAAAATGAATTTTACTCTTAAGCATGTACTACGATTGTCTTGGTTTATATGGTCTATAAATGACTAAACATGTTGTTGTTCTGGAGTCAATTTACACTTTGCAAGTAAAAATAAGTTTAGTTTTAAATTTAGACCGTATATTATCGAGTTGCAGAGGTATATTTTAACATGAGAATATTTTAAAAGCGAAAATAATTCTTTAAAAGGACAAAAGAAGCTGTGTTCGGTGTCCAAAAAAACATTTTGTTGGAAAACAAAAGGTGGCAACGGTTTTACGTTATTTATTTATCGGCTATAGAGTCAACATATTTAAAATTAATTCGTGTAAAAACTACTGTAACTACAAAAACCCGCCATTTTATCTCTCTTCGTACATATCAGATTTTTTTTTACTTATTAATTTTGTGACCTGTGTTTTTTTCAAGGTTTGTAATTTTTACGACCATAAACAAGCGTTTACGTTTTTTTAAATTACGAAATAAATCGCGTTCAATAATATTGTTGTCTGCACGTGCATACCTATTTTTTAACCGATCAAATATGTTAATGGAAAATTCACACTTCGCAAATTACGAACAATATGCCAACGTGTGTAAAAATATTTGTGCAATGTGCAAAACTCAAAATTTCAAACTATGTCGTAATTTATATTTCTGTCACCTTTCACAAAGTTGGGAAGTTAGTGGTATTCTAAAGTCGCTAGGAAACACCACGCTTTCAACTTTAACCTTTTCAAAAAGGGTAAAAGCTATTTAGGTAAAGAAAGAAAGTCGGCTATTTGTATACTTGAACTCTATTAAAACCTGACATCTAAAGCATTTGGCTTAGAATTACTTGAACTATTCAATTACGTTTTTGAATGTAAAGCAACTTGGGTTGGAAATATTATAAATAATACGACTATGTAACTTGTTATATGATAAACTGGTTTTATGACATCATTTACTGATTTCAAGCCATTACGATAATCAGTATTACGTGTATTTAATAAATTAGGTAATTATTTAAGTCCCAAATCGATTAAAACTGGGCCCCAGTGTCTGTGGTGTAAGAGATAAGTAAGAATATGAAAAAGTAATTTATAGGAAATCGACGATACGTTAAATATACACGCTGTGTTTCCCTGATGGATAGTGAAGACACTACACTTCAATATCATAGATTAATAAGCAGCAGCGTGTTCTAACTACACAATGACAGAGAAGGGATAATATGAATAAAATAGTTACTATGGTTACCATAAATTTAAAAATGTAAAATAAAGACTTGGCTGCATGGTCTAAAGAAGGAAAACATGATATCAATAATTTCAACAATTTGACTGTAATTTTTCTTTTAGTTAATTTGTTTTTCTTTTTAATAATATAATAATTATAAATAGTAAGCGGAAGGCCCCTGGGTCAAAGCAAAATGAAATTTATTGTGCAATTAATAGCGACGTTGCCAGGGACTCTACGTTAATTCCCCAACTATGGATAAATATCTTTGGTAAACAATAATATCTGCCTGTGGCTCATTCCCAATAGGTATAGACTGTCACGTCTGTCCACGGTACTACGGTACTGGTACATTTGACAAAATTCAACACTAAAACAAAATACTATCACTATCGATAGTGTTTTGTTTGGAACATTAGTTGCTGTGAATGTTCTTGTCTATGGATTGAAGTCGTCGTAGGAAGTGAAACTATTTTTTTTACTTTGTTTTTTTCAAACTGAATTTTGGAAGACTGACTCTCATATCACAGGTTACCCTATCTTGAGAGTCAGGGATCTCATATCAAATGTTATATATAGCCTTACCTTATAATCGTTTTGTGTTATCTTTAACTTCTTGAATAAAGAAATTATTATTATTATTATTAAACAAATCAACGATTCTAGCCCTTTTCCATTATTAATTTATAAAATGTACATCATAATTATTGTCACTATAGAAGTGTCAAAAATGTTAACTAGCTATACTGAACCACACTGACCCTTAGATCGTCAACCACAGTTATCATTAGTCATAGTAAAACCGTTTTAACACACCAAAAACTAATATAGTACTAGCGAAATAATTCTTAACCAAAGTAATTTTTAGATTAAGCTATCTACTACAAAAGAGTACGAAACTTAAAGAAATTCTTAGCAAAAAATATCTTCTAAAAAACTACTTATTGTCAGTTACAGCAGAATGGCCTCTGATGTCTGTGTGTTGCAAGAGTTCTTTTTTAAATTTTTTTCATAATTCGATATTCAATTTCGCTTTCGACACTGGTTAGGCACGACGACGGTTATTCTTCGTTTTTTTTATATGACGTTCAAGTACTGCATCCTTGGTTTCGACAGCGAAGGTCAACATCGCTTCCATTTCGCAGAAGTTCATGTAAGTTTTTAAAAGCGTATTATCGAGTTGCCAACCCATCCTAGCAAGAACCTTGAATTATATCATCATGCTTTACCTTGAATCTATAGTCTTCATAAGTTTCTAATACTAGTGGCTCATTGTGCCATCATCTTATAGCTACTATTAGGTTCCACCCCTATGTTGTGGATATTCCAAGAATTCGCACAAAGCATTTCGCTTCCACATTTATATGTCGAGCGGCTACGGGAGTGGATTTCTCTGTCTGCAGACTTCTGGACGGTATAACCTGGGTATTTTCAAGGCGAGAGCGAAGAGATGTATTATCGACCTCATCGTCACTTTCCATCAGGTGAGGTGGAGGTTAAATGTGCATCAAAAAAAGTTAATTTTATTTACCCTTTCCTTACTTTTAATTAATTTAACAAAAAATGTTTGTTACCCCTTTTATGCTCACAAAGATTGAAAGCAGTTGACAACATTTTACTCGACAAACGCAAAGAACTAAATTTAATTTAAATTTAGTGCAATGTCCTATGGCTGTATTAACTGTAACTGACACCCACTGACTCATTAGCCATTTGCAATTTTAATTACTTGGTGTAGGTGACCTTCATCTCAAATTTTTTTTTTCTGTGCAACGGACAATCCAGCTGCAAATTTAATCTCTCAAACAACACATAATGCCGTAAAAAGTATTGTAAACATAAAACTGGCCATAAAACAATGTTTATCTCCAATAATGCATCGAGAGCGATAAGACGATAAGCCGCTAATATCAACCGATATCAAAATGACGAATAGACAATAACTCGGAGTCTTTTACAATGTAGGTACTTTATCGATTGAACCTGTCTATTTAAAATCTTGACAGTTTCACGTACGTATACATAGGTAACAATACATATACCTACAAAACGTCGCCCTTCTCTTTAACTGTCGTAGCTGACACTTTGAGTTTTTTTTTAGCTGAGACTCCATATAAATGTAGCAACGCGATTTGTATGTGTGTACAGTGTAGTTTTGTTGAGTTTGTTAAATTTTTGTTTAAGCATTTTTAGTTGTCTAAAGCAAAGCAGCTGCCTCCACGCAAAAAGAACCCTAAAATCCGATAAATAACGGTCCAAAACAATCCTATTTATAGGAAAAATTACGCACTAAATACGAATACCGACTTTTGACGCCGGCAATACCTTCAATTCGGATCATTATTTTCGCGGACCGATGTAACTACGACGGTATTATTTGTGATAACGCTC